ATGTGCGCTTTAGTTAGAAAATCAATAATTTATTTCTCGGGAACCCTAGCGTATTAAGTTATAAATTATATCTAGTTAGAAAGGGGATTTTATTCACTATACCTTAGCATATTTACAAGTTTCCATCGTTGGAGAATATTTTAACATTTAGTCATTAAAGGAGTTTTCGCCTTCATTTATAGTGGTCCCCACCCCTTCTAGTTAAAATATCTCAAGAACTATTTAACTAATAAAAATATAAAATAGTATCTTAGATAGCTGAGATAAAACTGCACAGATCACATATAAGTCGTTAGGGCTTTGGTCAGAGATTTTAATTATTACTCAGGATTAGTCCCCAGAGTTAGGCATTTTATCCCAGGAAACTGGCCAGAAGGCAAAACGTAGACCGACTTGGTTTAGTCTGACGGAGAAGCTCTCTCATATGTCCGCGCAAGGCTTTAAAAGGGGGAGCACACTAAATTGGGGGGTCATTCGAGATTGGTCGGCATCCCTGCAGTGTGCCTTTGTTCAGTGCGGCCCATTGGAACGCTCTATATTGTCCTTTTTCTTCATAGAAGCCTTTTTCTTCATAGGCTTCTTCTCCATAGTTCATAGTGTCCTTTTTCTTGTTTTCATCATAGGAGAGCATTAATTAAAAAGCTATAGTCCTCAAGACCTGATTGTTTCATCTTGATTTTGATCTTATTTATAAAACTGTAAGCTAAACGTCACCCCCACTCGGCTACATTGGGATTAAAAAATGGTCATTAAATGCCAATATTAAGTCAGTCCTTAAAAGGTACATGATAAGATGAGGAAAAAGTAACTTTACAAAGATTAACATTTGGTAATTAAAATGTCAAACCATACACAACAGAGAAGTTTGGTTTGGATTTTTTAGAAAATAAGCCAAGAAAAAAGAAATAGATGAGCTGTTGGATATAAGTGACAGATGCATGTTAATGATATATATTTTAATGATATATATTTGTTTATTCACATTAGTATGCTTTTTAGCAGCCATGCTGTTGAAGTATGAGTTAAAGTGGCAATTCCATGAAAGTACTAATGGTTTGTTAGCATAAAAACTTTTTGATAAATTTAGTCGGGCAAGCAATTAATAATTGTCAATAATAGTAGAATATTAAACAGTAGTTTGTAATCAATGTTAGTTTCTTTTTTCAGCTTCCATCCATCAAAATGTTACCATGGTGTAGATTTGGCAGGACAAAATCACAAGGTCTGGGATAACACAAGGGAACATTATGTAAGGATGATAAAGCTTGGCACCAGAAGTGTCACAGGAGTTGCCGTGATTTTCACTGCATTAATGTCATACCACCTATGGGACTCCATCTCTGGGTTTGAATTCAGAGCTTTCCTTCTCTCAAATTAAGTTCCATCCAAAGATAACAAGTCCCATCCACCTGGGGAGCTAACATTTTTGCTTGTTTAGGCTTTGGCGGGGATTGAACTTCAGACCACAAGCTTGTGATTGACTCAATTTAGACTGCTCGGCCCCCCAGCCCCCAAATCTTGTTAGTTAGGGAGCAGTCAGTGGCATTATATCCAGAGGACTTTGTGGGTTTTAGGAAGCTTCATTATCGTGTTGTAATGAATAAATAAAAATAAGTAGCTGATATAGGAATATGGACCTTCTCATTAATAAGTGTTATTCTGATCATACCCAAATAATAACCATTTGATACAAACCATACTTGAGATGAAAATTTTCAAATTTATTCCATTTATGAACGAATAGTTTGTACTTCTAAATGCTATCTGAAGTTGCTTACCTTAAAATCAGTAGGTATATTGCAATACCTGGCAGGTACTAGATGTAATCCCCTACAATTGTATGACAAAGGCCTGTGGTTTGCATAAGTTGGCACATCTTGCCTCCCATAACCAAACAGACCATAGAATAAGCTTCCTTTCTGGTTGTAGCTGGGTAGCCAGTTAGAAGGTGATGGTGTCTTAGTTGCCTAGAAAAAAAGTGCTGTACATTTTTCACATTTTATTTTCAGATATGTAATGAAATCACATATCAATATTAAAATGTCCTCTAGTTCAATCAATTCTATAATAAAATTATAAAGATAGCATAAAAATAGTTATACTTGATTAAAGATGGCAAATATTCTACCTTGCTGACATCTTCTGATGAAAATTTGAAAACATCCTCAACTAGGATTTTGTTGTTGAGCTGGCCGGATGTGGAGCTGATGAACTTTAGGCTTTTCAAAACATTCTCTGCTTGTAAATGGCTCAGAGTTTGTCTTACTAGAACTTTATCTGAAACAAAAATGTGAGCAAATTAAAAACAAATAAATTATTAAAAACAAATAAATTATTTTAAAAATTTTCCTTTTACAGCAAAAGGTTTAAAATAATTGTTAACTTTAATTTTTTTAAAGTTAAAAACAAAAACCTTTAGGAGGGGCAGTTTAAAAATATATAGAAATTTCATATTTGTTTTCATCTAAATAAATGAGATTTATTTATTTATACTTATGTCAACTGCAATAACTGATGCTTGAGTAGTGAGTGACTGGGCCCTGCAAAGAGAGGGGCACAGGGAACAGGTGCCCTGGCACAAATACTAGGATGTTGCCAAAATCATCAATACACTATTCACTATATATAATATATATTATTTATTGATGAAAGACATTGCCCTGGACTCATTTTTCTTTCATTGAGCCCTTTGAATCAAAGTCTTTTTGAGTGACTAAAACTTTGAAAAAGTTTAAAGAGACTCTAGAAGGTACAGGCTACTGCAGCACACATTGTATTGCAGATAAAGAAATCTGACCACATCACCCCAGTTCTTAGACATTGGCTTCCTGTAAGTGAGCAAACTGACTACAAATTTCTGTCCATGGCATACAGCTGTATAGAAAGCTCTGCACCGGAATATCTTAAAGAACTGATTTATACACATGTATCCTTAAAGAACCTGCGGTCTTCAACACAGTCCTTACTGAGAGTTCCCAGTGTGGATGGACACAGAAAAAAGTCCTATGGAGAGCGCTCTTTTGAGATAGCGACAAAAATATGGAACAGTTTGACCCAATCTTTGAGGGACATCATTTAAAAAAAATCATTTAAGAAACATTTAAAGACTTTTTTATTTTAAAAGATTTAAGAACATCAGAACGCTGTAAGCATGCTAAAGTAGCATGGATACAAGGCCTAAATAAACATTCAATTCAATTTGAAACTAAAAATGCTGCTGGAAGTTTTTGAGTGGGTCCTAAGATTATATATTATATACCTAGGTTTATCATACAATATTTTATACCAGTACCAACACAAGATGAGTGTTGTTTTATTATGAGAAAAAGTAAAATCCTCATCATCATGGAATGAGAAAAAGAAACTCCACAGACAATTATCATGTCATATTTATGCCCTACCATTTTCAACATCATTTCTTGGTTTAACAGAGCTAAGCACTGAGTTGAGAGCTTTAACAGTGAGATGACTTTAAATTACGCTCAAAGTACTTCAAGTTAAACGGCTCAAAACTCTTACTAATTGTTAGTCTTGCTATCCCTTATCATAATCAATCATGGTATACCCATGCCATATATTTTAAACATATCACCATGTAAGAAATCACTATCTCTGAACTCAAACTAAATTAATATACAATAAATTATAAATATTTAATTATTATATTATATTATTGAATAAGAATATAAATACAGATTCTGATATAAATAAATTATTAAAAAGCTCCATTCACTTTCACAAATTATGAAGTCAAACACAAACTACTAACAAATGATTCACAATCCTGTTTGTCCAGAATATCGATCGTCGCTAGGGCCGTGTGTCTCATTTTTATTTTACTTAGTTTACATGTTTTTAATAATTGTAAAGCGCTTAGAGCTTTATGGTAAGCGCTATATAAAAATGCCTAAATAAATAAATAAATAAATACGTCATGGCTGCATCTCTTCGCATTAATTGTTTTTCAGTCCAGTATATTATGTTCAATAGTATAAAGTAGCTTTTCGTAACTATACATAGTTGTGTGTTTCATGTATAAGTATACATACACCACATAAACCATGAAATGTATTAAGCCAATAGACATGACATAATTTGTTTCATATTTTATATGGATGGGCGGGAAATGGTTGGTCTATCTATCGACTTGGTCACCACTGTTAACAAACTAAGCATTCACCGAAAGAAAGAAACGAGGGAAATACGAAAGAAGAAACTTCCTAATTACCGGAAAATAAAATCTTCTGCAGCAAACTTCGACTAGACGCGACTGTCGTAAGTTGCCGAGTAGGAAGAGCTGCGGCCCGTTGCCTGAAGAGAAACATCATGTTGGCCATTTGAAATAGAGGTGGCGATGTCCAACATTACACCCTTGTTGAGGGAGAATTCTAGGATGACGCAGATAATAAGAATTGGGAATTTTGGGTATCGAGAGTTCTATAGTAAACAAATTATTAATAATTCATGATAGAGTAACACTATTTTGTGTCTGATGAAAATTATTTTACTTGTTTTAGCGAAAAGTTCCTTGTTTTGTTTATTATCTTATAAATTTATGTTTCATTAACTTCATTTTACTGTAAGTTAACCACTGTAATACTTAAGGTTCACTACTGTCCAAAGAAGTACAGTTTACACATGCATTTAATTTAGGATTTACTTTTTGTGTGTGCGTGTGATTGCCCTGATAATAACTTGGAAGTCAACAGAATAGCGGTATTTAACATATCTCTTATTTAAAACCGTGCTATCAATAAATATATTATAAAATAATATGTAACAGCTCCAAAAGGGGGGTTGGGGGAGTAATTAATTTTTTTTTCCTTAAGTTCTTTTGGGGGCGGCGGAACGATCTAAATATCCCCCCCCCCCGGCCTCTATTATTCACCAATGAGCCAGACAGATTAAAACTTGTTTTTATTGCTGTCAGCATTGCGGCGTAATTAAGATAAAAAATTTTCTTTAAAAATATAATCTTATCAGTCTAACTAAAAGATTATAAATGAAAAAAAAAAACAAAACCAACAACACTCTGTCAGAGCAACTATTTGTAATCGACGAATGTCAATATGCAGTCAGAGTATTATCTTCTCTACTTTACAGTATACGTTTTCTCATGTGTTAGTGGCAATACCTTTATACCGTCAAAGACTTGTTACATAATACACTCCTGTGCGTGTTCGTTTGGCAACGGAAGCGTTCTAGATTTGTCTGCCTTGGTGGGGAACCCTAGGTAAGTGTAAACATTAAGAAACACATCCTTCATGAATTAGACTAAGGGAACGTATCCTTCAAGAACGAGCCAAATGAAACGTATCCTTTATGAGTGAGCCTAATGGAACATATTCTTCATGGATGAGCCAAATGAAAGATATCCTTTATGAATTAACATAATGGCCTAACTCCATGAATAAGTCTAATAACACATATCCTTAATAAATGATCCAAATGAAACATATCCTTTATGATTAATCCTAAATATCCTTCAAGAATGAGCCAAATGAATTATATCCTTCAAGAATGAGCCAAATGAATATATCCTTCACGAATGAGCCAAATAAATAATATCCTTCATGAATATGCCTAATGAAATATATCCTTCATGAATTAGCCTAATGAAATATATCCTTCACGAATGAGCCAAATGAAATATATCCTTCATGAATGAGCCAGATAAAACTTATCCTTCACGAATGAGCCTCATGGAACATATCCTTGATGAATGAGCCTAATGCCTAATGATGGTACAATCAGTGGTAAAAAATATGAAAATAGCCAAGTGTTGTATGTAACTGTATTGTTATAACCAGTGGTGTAGCGAGACGCTGTGTCGCACTTGTCGGGCATTGGGTTTGACCCCCCCCCCCACCCCCGAAAACTCTAATTGAAATTATATCTAGTGCTCTTTGGAACAGTGAAACCACGAAATTACGGACATTGAAGTTATAACAATGTCCTTGGCATTGGTCCTTACTCCCCTTTTCCATCAATCTATACTTAATAAAAAAAGCAACATAGAAATTATATGATTATTTTTATTCGTACTAAAAATTAATATAGTTTGATAATGTTTAGTTAACATGTTTTTATGAAGCTATGAAACTTTTTAATTATCTTAATTAAACAAATTCCTTTGTAAATGATTTTTTTCAAGGCGCTGAGTGCTGATGCAATGTATCGGTGTGTACCGTCACAAGACAGAATTTAAATAATTTATATAATTATAATATAAGAAGACCGTGCTAACAATTAAATGGGTGCTGGGTGGCCGAATGGTCTAAACTGAGCAATTCACAAGTTCGTGGTCTGGAACTCGAGCCCAGTTAGACCTGCCAGCCAAATTTAATTTTAAATTTCGGTTGGCTGACATAATTTTTTGGCTGATATAATAATAATAATAATAAGACGTCTTATATAGCGCGGTACCCCAGCCTAGGGCTGGGCTCACCGCGCTGTACATAAAAATTTTATCAAAAGAGACATAATCATGAAATTAAAATAAAATACATTTATGAAATAAAGAACAGCAACACCCCACCACATAACTTTTACAAGACAAACCATGGACGGCAGCCAGCAAGATCATTTATCGGCCAGAGGAGGGGAATCAGTCAGGGTAGTAGAATTTAAAAAGATATGTTTTTAGTGCAGTTTTGAAGGCCTGGGTGGTTGGTATATTGCGTATGTTTAGTGGCAAAGAATTCCATTTGTTTGGGGGCGCAGAAAGAGAAAGATCGTTCACCATATGTTTTAGTGTGTGTCTTGAGAACGGACAGAATACGCGTGTCTGCACAGGAGCGAAGCTGTCGAAGGGGTAAATAGACAGAAATATTAGCCGGATTTCTCCGTAAATTGACATTTGCGGCTGATTTTCGGCTGATTACGAAATATTCGGCTGAAGCCTGGCCAATAATGAAGTAATAAAACTTCAGCAATTAAACACTTTTACAATACTTCAGAAAAAGTTTTATTATTTCAAACAATAGAAAAAAAAAGTTTTATATGCTGTCCTACTAATACAGTGCATGAATGCATTCCATTCATTCAGTTTCTGTCACTCAATACCTGATACCTTAAAACGGAACGCCATGAAATTTAAGAAAGCAAAAACATTACGTTACGGCGACTCGTTCATTTTTCGGCGGATTTACGGCGGACGAACTACGGCGGCTGATGCGGCGCGCCGAATATTTTCCAGCGGATTTTTGGCGGACGAAAATTCGGCGGCGTATTCGGCGTGCGGCGTCGACTGAGGGGGTCTAAACCCAGTCAAGCAAAAACACCACCAGAACCCCGGGTGGATGGAAAATCTTCTAAGAGAAGGAAACTCTGAAATCAAACCCGAGATGGAGTCCTCTTTTCATTTTTAACTCGCGTGTATAAAGTTCAACATAAATTAATGTGTCCAGTAGGTCAGCTTCTTGCTTTTTGTTTCAATAAAAGATCAGCTCATCTTATGATCTCAACTTCCACAGGTTTACCCTGGACGACCCGCAAGTAGAATACGCCTACAATCCTTGTACGGATTTTTCAATGGGGGAATGCACAAATGTTTCGGTAAAAAAAAAAAAAAAACAAAACAACAACAACCAAAACAACAAAAAAAAACAAACAAAAATAAAACCAAACCCAAAGAGACAGAGTAAAAAAAAATCCACAGGTTTACCCTGGACGACCCGCAAGTAGAATACGCCTACAAACCTTGTACGGATTTTTCAATGGGGGAATGCACAAATGTTTCGGTAAAAAAAAAAAAAAAAAGCACAACAACAGCAACCAAAACAACAACAAAAAACATACATGTTTTAAACCTGACCCGAAGAGTCTGATTAAAAAAAACCAAGCGTCTTAAAACATTAAAAAGAAATCATTCATATGCATTTTTCTTCTTTTAAGAAATCATTGCATCATATTGCCTTAATCTTCCCCCTGAAACTTGGAAAAAAAAACAAATGGTTTTTGGGGGATCGGGTGGGGGTTTCAAATTTGATAGAATGTGTTGTCATTGGCAGCGAGTCTATGCGCAACGCCGGCCTTAGGTAAAAGTTCGCCCTGTGCAAAGCACCCGTTCGGTGCCCTTTCGGTTGGTCTCAACCCCAGAGTTAGTATCCAAACTAAGAATGCAACTTTCATGGTATGAAAACTCATTGTATGAGAAGCGATTGTACAAAATGTTCAAATACCGTTTCTCGACCGAGGTTCACACTTCACTACAATAAAATAAGGGACTTTAAATATTTTCTGGGCGCCCCTATTGCCAAGGCGCCCTGTGCGAGGGCACAGGTCGCACACCCTAAAGGCCGGCTTTCCTATGACGCGTTCATGGCACGTGTGTATTTTGCCATATCATCGGCACCCCACTCTGTGTGTTGACTTGTAGCCCTGTATGGCTATTATAAATAGTGACCATGCAATACTGTCAGCAAAGCACATTTAGTGGCGTAGGGAGGGAGGGTGGATGGGGGGGGGGGAGGGGTTGTCCGCGTGGGACGGCATTTTTTTTCTCTACATGGAAGTCGGGTATTTGGGGCAAATTGTCGAGTTATCTCAGGCAACAGTCTTCTTTTCCCACCCAACGCTCACCTTTTCTCATTCGTCTACTTTTCCCAAACAACGTTAAACTTTTCCCACCCAACGCTCAACGTGATTCATTCCTTTCGTTTCACCAGGCATGCCAGTACCTGAGATACGAAGACACCTATCACATTCTTGGTGACCAGGAGTCTGCGGCATTCGTGTTTGACACAGACAATGAGATGGTCATCTTGACCTACTATAAACAGGACACTTACGGCAAAATCAGGTCAGCCGAAGACCAGATCGTCGCCAGGGCTTTCAATGACGAAGTGGTTATAAATAGTAGGCTAGGCATAACCTTGAATTAGCGGTAGTAAATCATGTATCACCTGTGAGTAACGTTGAGCGTCATTCCCAGTCGGCAGCGTACCGTCATAGTGCTATCATAATGTAGTCTGGGTTAAAATTATACCAAGTTATAGATTCAACAGGTACGGCCTATTATTCCGCTACATTGTTAATATTTTTTTAATTGCTAGCGGTAGTAGTAGTAGGAGTAAACTATTTACGGGCTTGACAAAACTCAGAGTTGTCTACCCAGTCTGCTGAGGATGACGTAGAGTGCTACTCTCCGGACAGACAGTCTACACCGCCTTACGTGACCGTAACGAAATGTTGCAAGTGTTTGAACAAACAAACAAAAAAAACCTGGTATCTTTTAAACCAAAATATGTAGAAGCCAACACTTCATTCGTTCAGCTGTTTCCATTGTTTTTTCTGTGCCTAGGTCGGTGTCAACTATTGACTACACATTTGTACGTAAAAAAAAAGGGCAACTTTCTAAGTATCGTCCGTTTCAGCTTTAAGAAGTAGATTAGTAAACTGTCTTATACTGAGCCTATCCGCGTGGATCAAGGTGGGATATTCATTGTTTCGAATCAGATGGTTCCCAGCATTATTTAAACGCCTGTAACAGTGCCATAAAGTTGTTTATTCACATTCATTATTTGTTGTTTTTTTTTAACAGGACAGCCAACATTCAGCTGCACTGCACCACTGACATGACGGACAGCTTCATCTATCTGGGCCAACACAAACAACTCTATTTTGTAAGTTGCCAACGTCATGGGTCCCAATAATTTGTAACATAAGAATAAGAATTTAAAAAAAAAATTACCTCCCCCCCCCAAAAAAAAAAAATAACAACAAAAAAAACCAACAAAATAAAACCCACCACCAAACTACCCAACACAAAATGTGAGGAAACTAGATCAATAAATATAAAATAAACTACTAGTATTTCCATTGTTTACAGCACCAATCCATTTCTCAAATTTCCAGTCAGCGTCACACTCCCATCCCCACTCTCACTCTCACTCCCTCTCTATCTCCCACTCTAAATCCCACTTGGCCTGTCTCACCCACTCCTACTTCACTCGCATTCTGCAGGAGTTAGACTACAGGAGTAAGGGCTAGAGTAAGACTACAAGAGCAAGGGCTAGAGTAAGACTACAAGAGTAAGGGCTAGAGTAAGACTACAAGAGTAAGGGCTAGAGTAAGACTACAAGAGTAAGGGCTAGAGTAAGACTACAAGAGTAAGGGCTAGAGTAAGACTACAAGAGTAAGAGCTAGAGTAAGACTACAAGAGTAAGGGCTAGAGTAAGACTACAAGAGTAAGGGCTAGAGTAAGGGCTAGAGTAAGGGCTAGAGTAAGACTACAAGAGTAAGGGTTAGAGTAAGGGCTAGAGTAAGGGCTAGAGTAAGGGCTAGAGTAAGGGCTAGAGTAAGGGCAAGAGTAAGGGCTAGAGTAAGACTACAAGAGTAAGGGCTAGAATAAGGGCTAGAGTAATGGCTAGAGTAAGGACTAGAGTAAGGGCTAGAGTAAGACTACAAGAGTAAGGGCTAGAGTAAGATTACAAGAGTAAGGGCTAGAGTAAGACTACAAGAGTAAGGGCTAGAGTAAGGGCTAGAGAAAGGGCGAGAGAAAGGGATAGAGTAAGGGCTAGAGTAAGACTACAAGAGAAAGGGCTAGAGTAAGACTACAAGAGAAAGGGCTAGAGTAAGACTACAAGAGTAAGGGCTAGAGTAAGGGCGAGAGTAAGGGCTAGAGTAAGGGCTAGAGTAAGGGCTAGAGTAAGGGCTAGAGTAAGGGCTAGAGTAAGGGCTAGAGTAAGGGCTAGAGTAAGGGCTAGAGTAAGGGCTAGAGTAAGGGCTAGAGTAAGACTACAAGAGTAAGGGCTAGAGTAAGACTACAGGAGTAAGGCTAGAGTAAGACTACAAGAGCAAGGGCTAGAGTAAGACTACAAGAGCAAGGGCTAGAGTAAGAATACAAGAGTAAGGGCTAGAGTAAAACTACAAGAGTAAGGGCTAGAGTAAGACTACAAGAGTAAGGGCTAGAGTAAGACTACAAGAGTAAGGGCTAGAGTAAGGGCTAGAGTAAGGGCTAGAGTAAGGGCTAGAGTAGGGACTAGAGTAAGGGCTAGAGTAAGGGCTAGAGTAAGGGCAAGAGTAAGGGCTAGAGTAAGACTACAAGAGTAAGGGCTAGAGTAAGGGCTAGAGTAAGGGCTAGAGTAAGACTACAGGAGTAAGGGTTGGGGTCATGGGTGTGCGTAGGAATTTGATCAGGAAAATTGGGGGGGGGGGTTGCGACAATAAACTTCGGACTCGTACTGGTAATATCTTACATCATATACATAAAGTGACAATTTGTTTTTTACCCCCATACGTTTCTACATATACTGATGGACTTTGACCAAACAAGGAAATTGATCAGGAGAATTGGGGGGGGGGGGTTGCGACAATAAACTTCGGACTCGTACTGGTAATATCTTACATCATATACATAAAGTGACAATTTGTTTTTTACCCCCATACGTTTCTACATATACTGATGGACTTTGACCAAACTTGACTTTTACATCTATCATTATCCAGAATAAAATAGTGGAGGGTTTTGAACTTTATATTACATTCAGTTTGTGGCAGAGGCGTAGCGTGGTGGGGGCAGGGGGGACAGATGTCCCCGGGCTACAGCTAGTTAGGGGCGCCGAAATGTGCTTTGATATTATTTTATTGATGAAAATAATGGGTTTGAGAGATCAAAAAAAAGAAAAAGAGGCGCTAAAAATGGATCTTGTCCGCAGGCGCGAATCTTGTCCCCGTGCGCCAAACACCCTCGCTACGCCACTGGTTTGGGGCCCAAATTCATTTTTTCTTCTCATATGAGCTTTATAAATAAAATGACCAATAAATACTCCTACATGAATGGATTGATCTTGACCAAACTTAGTACACAAGCACTTGATTATCCATATTCGAACACCGAATCATACTGACATCATAAAATTTTCGTTATTTAAGCAAAAAAATAAATACCAATATGCTTAGACAACACTATAGGTTTAATGTGATTTAATAGTTCTAGGCTTATGGCATTTTTAAACGGATTGAAATGGGTTAGCCTTGAAATTTTAACTATAAATAGTTATATATGTTAGTGATTTTTATAGGGGCTAATTCAAGCGTAACAAAAACAGCACTTTATGGAATTGTGCCTCTAGGGTCATCGTTATAATTATGATATTAATAATGTTTCTTATATGAAAAAACAAACAAACTGACCTAGAAAAGTTATTATAGTCAGGAGGTTATTAAATTTAATCAACGGGGACATATAGGGAATCTAAAAGCTAATTGAACTATTTTTTAACATATATATAGTAGAAACATTGTCTATACAGATGCATAGTGGTAACCTTGTCTATACAGATGTATAGTGGTAACCTTGCCTATACAGATGTATAGTGGTAACCTTGTCTATACAGATGTATAGTGGTAATCTTGTCTATACAGATGTATAGTGGTAATCTTGTCTATACAGATGTATAGTAGACACTTTGTCTATATAGATGTATAGTATAAGCATTGTCTATACAGATTTATAGAAGACACATTGTCTATACAGATGTATAGTAGACACATTGTCTATACAGATGTATGATAGACACATTATCTATACAGATGTATAGTAGACACATTGTCTATACAGATTTATAGTAGATACATTGTCTATATAGACGTATAGTAGACATATTGTTTATATAGATGTTTAGTAGATGTATTGTCAAGGTTGACCAAAACACTGCATAGAAAAACTGCAGAAAGTTCAAAACTCAGCTGCTGGGCTAGTTTTAAAGGCAAAAAAACATGATCACGTCACTCTACTACTCCATTCCCTTCATTGGCTACCTATAAAGGCACGCATTGACTACAAGTTGTCTGTTCTCTGTCACAACTTTTTCTTGGATTCCTGCCCTTCCTATCTAACCGAACTTCTTTCTGTCAATTCACCCCTTCGACAGCTTCGCTCCTGTGCAGACACGCGTATTCTGTCCTTTCCCAAGACACACACTAAAACATATGGTGAACGATCTTTCTCTTTCTGCGCCCCCAAACAATGGAATTCTTTGCCACAAAAAATACGCAATATATCAACCACCTAGGCCTTCAAAACTGCACTAAAAACATATCTTTTTAAATTATACTACCGTGACTGATTCTCCTCCTCTAACCGATAAACGATCTTGCTGGCTGCCGTCCATGGCTTGCCTTGTAAAAGTTATGTGGTGGGGTGTTGCTGTTCTTTATTTCATAAATGTATTTTATTTTAATTTCATGATTATGTCTCTTTTGATAAAATTTTTATGTACAGCGCGGTGAGCCCAGCCCTAGGCTGGGGTACCGCGCTATAAAAGACGTCTTCTTCTTCTTATTATTATTGTCTTTACAGAAGCGCAAATATTAATAATTTTAGTATAAATGTATATCTTCTAGGTGGGGGCATGTGACCCACCTCGACCCATATTGCGGATGCCCATGGTTAGGGTTAAGGCTAGGGTAAGACTATAAAAGTAAAGTTTAGGGTTAAGATAAGACGAGAGGACTAAATTTAAACTATAACATCCATACATGGAGTCGCAAAGTCCAACTGACGCTGACATCAAATTCATTTAAGCAACTCATGCGACGCAGTTAGTGACTAGTTGCATTGACACTTGTCACTCCCTTGGATGCACTGACTGCGTGGATGGGTGGGGATCTGCTTTACTGGGCAACATCTGGTCGCCGGTCAAGAGCTCCGTGCTCAGTACCGCTTCTGAAGATTGTTTGACAGGCCCCCATAACGCACCGCCCATGCTAAGTCGCTGTACTGGTGGCGTCACAACATGGAATATAAGAGCCTCTTGTATTAAATTTCAGGGAGTCAGACCAAAGAAGCGCGAAACAAAGCCGTTGTAACAAAACAAGCATTAAGGAAAGCCAAGATAAATCAGAAGTCCAGGTTTCCCTGCGAGAAGTGCAGTGGCGTAGCGAGGGTGTTTGGCGCCCGGGGACAAGATTCGCGCCTTGGGACAAGATCCATTTTTAGCGCCCCTTTTTCTTTTTTTGATCTCTCAAAACCCATTATTTTCATCAATAAAATAATATCAAAGCACATTTTGGCGCCCCTAACTAGCTGGCGCCCGGGGACATCTGTCCCCCCTGCCCCCACCACGCTACGCCTCTGGAGAAGTGTAGCTGAGACTGTCATTCCAGGATCAGTCCCGTAAACCATTTGATGAAGTATCAATAAGCTACTCCCTAGTCTCATGAAAACGGGGTGGAGGGGATGCAATATATAGGTCAAACTGCCATGACTGCCATAAGATTTTTTTAGTATAAAGAGCATTGTCGGGATCGATTTTGCAGGATACAGAGTAGCAAAGTCTGTCCCTGTTCGAGGATATTATAATAAGTGGATGACTCGATATCTTTTCTATAACATATCTTTTCTATAACATATCTCTTGTGTAACATATCTTTTCTATATCATATCTCTACTATACCATATCTTTTCTATAACATATCTTTTCTATGACATATCTTTTCTATATCATATCTCTTCTATAACATATCTTTTCTATGACATATCTTTTCTATAACATATCTTTCCACGCCTTAACAAAAAGTTAGGCCCATTATCACGGTTGTGTCAAGTTTCATGGTTATGTAACGATGAGTACCTTAGCTCCAGGTAATAGCCAAAGTAAATGTTTTGTTTGTTGGCCTGACGAGACAAAGCATTGTTTAACAAATCTAATGTAACTTTTAGAAGTTCAGGTTAAGCAGCAGACATTGCTGTCCCATGCAGCCGAGGAGCGCCATCAACTGGAGCTAGGAGAGGATCGTTAGAAGAATGTCGGGTTTACTGAAATCTTCACCATGCAGTGTGCTTCAGTTGTTTCAACGTTCTTTGTTTAAGATCCTTGATGTTGAATATAGAGTTTATCGAATTTTACTTTCATTTCGAATACATGTATCTCTTAAAACTTTAACATTTGTGTCAACATTTTTTTTTTTTTTTTTTTTTTTTGCATGATTAAAACTAAATTTTGGTTCAAAACTTTGTAAAACATTAATTATTAATGTCATTCCCTCTCATTTCTATATAGCTATTTTGTCTGATTATGCGTTTACAAAATAAATTAATAAAAAAATCATGATTTCTATTACACGTGGACGCTAGAGAAATTTAGAAAAATAACTCCTTAGGGCAGGGGTGTCAAACTCATCGCTCGGCGGGCCAAAACTCAAATCACATGTAAGGTTGCCGAACAGAATAAGCACTCAGTAAGCGGAAAATTAGTATTTTTTCTTCCTTTTTTAAAGAAACATTTATATAAACGAAAACAGAAAATTTTTTTTTAATAATTAAAAATCCATTAGCGTACCCATTTTCGTTCTTATGCCAATTTGTCAGAGCTGGATGTTTGGCACATTTCTTGACTACAAAAAACAACAAAAACAAACAACAACAAGCAAACAAGTAGGTTCGTTTATTTTTGGAGAAAAGCTCTTTGTCATTGAGATTCTCATGATGCACTGCAAGTGTTCACCAGTGAGACAACTCCTGTGTGATGTGTTGTTAATCTTCATCACAGAAAACAGCTGCTCACACAGATATGTGCTACCCAACATGATCAAGGCTTGAGTCGCATGCAGATGAAGCTTGGGCAACTCTTCGGCAATGAAAAGAGTGAACTGTGCAGGCCCAACTGTGTCGTACTTTGTCTTTAGTGTCCCATTACACTGCAGCGCTACTAGCTCCGTCTGCATATTTACAGGTGCAGTTTCCCCGTCTATGACAAATGGGTTAAGAAACAGCTAAAAATCATATATCAAAGTAACTAAAGCACCTTGCGAAGTAAGCTCAGTTGGGAAACATCATCGTGTTGACGTAGATATAATTGTATGCCGGTCAAGACCTCGCGGGCCTGATTTAATTGTTTGGCGGGCCGGATGTGGCCCGCGGGCCTTGAGTTTGACACATTGCCCTAAGGAAACTTTCATTTCTTACTTCAGCGGCTCTCAACCCGTGGGTTGCGACCACTTTGGAGTCGAACGACCCTTACACAGGGGTCGCCTAAGAACATCGGAGAACAAAACATATAAAGTAGCAACGAAAATAATTTTGTGGTTGGGGGGTCATCACAACATGAGGAACTGTATTAAAGGGTTCGCGTTTTTAGGAAGGTTGAGAGCCACTGCCTTAAGTAATACCTTCAATGAAATGAAAATAAAATTAAGATTCGCAGATCAACAAATAATTGAACAATCAATAATTGCCTCATTATTGCTGTTTACTAATCAGATGAAAATTGTGGTGCTAACAATTACAATGAACATTATAAATGTAATGATCATTGAAGTGAATATTTGAAAGAATTATTTACCCCCAAAAAGATTTGTCGCTTTAAATTGAATACATTTATTTAGTGAACAATATTTAAATTATGTTTACTATAGAACATTGTTCATAATATTGACTAAAAAAAATTAAATATGTGCTTAAATGGAAGCAGATGTTAACGTCAGGGGCGTAGCTAGGGTTAGTGCCACCCTGGGCGAGCCAATAATTTAGCCGCCCCACTTCCACGAAAAAAAACCCCCACTTCTTTTGTTTGCTACATTCGCCGCCCCGCCACAGAGCCAAAACAAAAACCGCCCGGGGTGCACCAATCCCACCGCAACCCCTTCATACGCCACTGATTAACGTGCATCCGCATTCTGGATGTGGTGCGGCATGGCCACCCGAGTCTTTTACTTTAATTTGAAGGTAACCCTTCTAATGGGCCGGTGTACTGGTGGACTTCCTTGTGTCTTCACCACCCAGAATGCCTTAGGATTTCCTTTGTAGAGATCCAGCATCTTGGTGTTGGGGTTCAGGCACCGTTCACCTGGAAGAAGGAGGTTGTCAGTAGAAAGAGAAGGCAAATACACTTGTCTTAATGACCGAATCATACAACCACAAGTGGTAAGGTCTGCGTGTGTCAGTTAAGTTTAAGTCCATAAATCTACTCAAAGAATTATTTAAATCATTAGCACATTTTATTGGTTATTTTTTAAAGGTTTGGGCAATGTTTGGCTGTGTTTGTGTGTTTGTTTTTGTGTGTGTGTTTGTGTGTGTTTGTGTTTGTTTGTGTGTGTGTGTTTGTTTGTGTGTGCGTCTTTGTGTGCATGTGTGTATGTGTGTGTTTGTGTTTGTTTGTGTTTGTTTGTCTGTGTTTGTGTGTGTATGTGTGTTTGTGTGTATGTGTGTGTTTGTGTTTGTTTGTGTGTGTGTGTTTGTTTGTGTATGTGTTTGTTTGTGTGTGTTTGTGTGTGTGTTTGTGTGTGTGTTTGTTTGTGTGTGTGCGTCTTTGTGTGCATGTGTGTATGTGTGTGTTTGTTTGTGTGTGTGTTTGTGTGTGTATGTGTGTTTGTGTTTTTGTGTGTATGTGTGTTTGTGTGTTTGAGTGTATGTGAGTGTTTGTGTTTGTGTGTGTGTGAGTGTTTGTGTGTGCGTTTGTGTGTGCGTTTGTGTGTGTCTTTGTGTGTGTGTGTGTAAGTCTCAGGTGTACCATGACCTAAAATACTTCAAGCCCACTAATGAAATAACAAACTATGTTCGTCATCAAAGTTATAACAATAATTATAATCTGAATGTTAATTGACACCATAGTCTGACTGATATTTGACATCATTGTCTGACTTATAATTGACATCATGGTCTGACTGATAGTTGACATGATTTCCTGACTGATAATTGCGATCATAATCTGACTGATCATTGACATCATAGTCTGGCTGATAATTGACGACATTATCTGTATGATAATTAACATCATAGTCTTATAATTGACATCATTGTCTGACTGATAATTGACATCATAATCTGACTGATAATGGACACCAGTCTATTATCATAGAAAATATGTTTGGCCCTTAAGTCATTTAAGTTTATTACCATCAAGACAACATTGGAAAACTACTTCCTATTTCATTCTGTGATAATGTTGGAGGAGGGAACATTCTGGGTATCCCAATGCCAGAGATATCATCCGATTGGTTTCCTAATTATGTTATGATGGGTTCCCAATGCCAGAGATATCATCCGATTGGTTTCCTAATTATGTTAGGATGGGTTCCCAATGCCAGAGATATCATCCGATTGGTTTCCTAATTATGTTATGATGGGTTCCCAATGCCAGAGATGTCATCCAATTGGTTTCCTAATTATGTTATGATGGGTTCCCAATGCCAGAGATGTCATCCAATTGGTTTCCTAATTATGTTATGATGGGTTCCCAATGCCAGAGATGTCATCCGATTGGTTTCCTAATTATGTTATGATGGGTTCCCAATGCCAGAGATGTCATCCAATTGGTTTCCTAATTATGTTAGGATGGGTTCCCAATGCCAGAGATGTCATCCGATTGGTTTCCTAATTATGTTATGATGGGTTCCCAATGCCAGGGATGTCATCCAATTGTTATCCTAATTATGCTGTGTTGGGTTCGCAATACTGAAATGTTACCGGATGGTGCACTAACCGTGCTAAGCCTGGTTCCCAATGCCAGATATGTCCCCAAGAGATGCCTTAAACATGTCATGCTTGGTTACCAATGCCAGATATCTCAGCCAAGAGATGCCATAAACATGCCATGCTAAGTTGCCACCCCCCCCCCAAAAAAAAAAAGAGATATCATAAAAGTGCTTTGGCTACAGGAGTCAATTTTGGGGAAAGAAACCTTAAAAAATGTGGAATTTTAAAAAAAGCAAAATTTAAAAAACAACTTAAATGAATCTTAACTTACCTATGTTTCCACCAACTTCATACAAATATTGTAGAGGCTTTGCATCACCTTGTCCCAATTCACTTTTGGAGATATCAAGAAAAAAAACTTATTACAATTGTACGTGAAACATTTACCAACTTGTGTTGTCCGAGTTACAAAAGTAAGATCTTAGTTCTTCTTCTTCTTACGATCAATTTGTTGATCATTCTGGCTCTTGGTTTAAATTCAGTTTGCCTTCTCTTAGATGGGTTGCCGTCCAAGGCTAACGAGTCCCATCCACCCGAGGTGCTTGGGATGTTGGCTTTGGTGGGCATTGTCCGGATTGAACTCCAGACCACCAGCTATTTGGTTTAAGACCGTTCAGACCGGCCACCAATTTTTTTAGTATATTAATAATAATTTAAAAAATCAGATGGAAGCAAATTTCAGATTAAAAAGAAAATTGAAATACTGAATCATTAAGCACAGTACTACCACAATTATATATTAAGTTAGTTTGTTCATTTATGAAAGTAAGTCTGTTTGTTTATGAAAGTAAGTCTGTTTGTCTATGAAAGTAGTTCTGTTTTTGAAAGTAAGTCTGCTTGTTTATCAAAGAAAGTCTGTATGTTTATGAAAGAAAGCTTGTTACTTTATGAAAGTAAGTCTGTTTTTTTTTTATGAAAGGAAGTCTTTTTGTGTATGACAGTAAGTCTGTTTGTTTATGAAAGAAAGTATTAAGTTTTTGAATTAAATTATCCACGAGGATTGAGGGTTCTGTTCTTAGTGGTTATATTTACGTGTTAAAATCGTGAAGGGGAACTGGATTCAATGGTGTGGTCTTGTCGGATGACGTGTCAGAAGGTGCGATATCAAAGGGATCACTGAACGAACAAAAAAAACATTTTAAAAAAGTGAGTTATTTCATTCTAATATTTAAGATATATTGGGAAAAGAAGTTATTACACAAAATTTTAATTATTTTGAAAGTAACAACAATTCTCTCATAGATTTCTTAGTCAAGCATATTATTATTTTGAAAAATATTTGTTCCTGTCTTCGGAAAAAAGAAGAAATAATTGAATGATGTTTTAATGTGAAAATGTTTTAATTAATTCTGTATCTCTCAGGGAATCTTGCAAGTGTTGAGTATATTAAGTAACTCTAAAATCAATTATTAACTATCAGGAAGAGATTTGAAAGTGTCCAGAGCCTTTTGTATGTGTTTAACCACATTTGCCTCCCT